ATAAAGAACCAGAAAAAGTTACAAGATGTTAGGAAATAATATAAACATGTACCATAAAATTCTTGTTTGCATTTCTTCAAATATAAAAATATTATTTGGCTTTTAGAAGACTACATAAAAATTAATTACAATTAAAATTAAAAATTAATTTAACAAGTCAGAGCTTTATAGCACTCAGAAGCTATACAGCTAACCTAAGATAGATGGTTTTGATGTTAGGGCGTGAAATGACCTTAGCCGTTAAAACGCCCTTAAAAATTAATAATAATAATAATAATAATAATAATAATAATAACAAATTATTTTTCTGTTAATTTGTGATTTTTTAAATTACTATAAATTTGCCTATAAAATACTTATTTTATATTTTTACAATCATGAATTATTAGAAGAATTATTTGTTTTTATAATTAATTTTTAATTTTAGTGATAATAAATTGTGATTTAGTATGTACGTAAACATGTCACTTTTGTTTTGGGCCCAACCCTGAATTCGGAGAACCGAAAACAAGGTCCCAGAGGTTGTTTATGATCGGACCTGACTACGATTATATAATTTATCGATCAAGCACCTTTTTTTTATATATTTCATTCAAACCAAAATAAATACGAGACGAAAATATTAATTAAATTTATATCTTTTATTACAATTTATTTCCAAATAAAATTACAATTTCTTATTATTTTTAATTTAAAGAATCTTTTATTCTATAATAAAACCTATTTCAAAAACTACAAACATTAATTTTAATATCGAATTTAATTCTTGTTTTATAAAGAAAAGTAAAAGTAAATTATTATTGTTATTATTATTAATTTTTGACCACCAATTAGAAAATACAATTAATATTTTAACATAACTTTTAAAATCAAGTGTTATCTATTTTAGTTTTCTTTATAAAAATATATTTTTTGTTATAACCCTTTTTAAATTAAAATACAAGTATGATTTTTTGTTGTGACATCAAGTTTCAAATTTTTTTTTTTTATTTCCCATGAAGTTTTCTTTTATTTTCATTGTACAGTCGAGCGTGATCGGCCGACCAGGGTCAGGTCCTCGCCGCGCGCCCGCACCACTCATTCAGCTCCATCATCTTCTCATCTTCTAAATTTTCATGCTTGAAGATAATCAAAAAGAAACGTTTATCGACTTTAGAAATCCATAGATTATGTTGATAAACGTGACGTATAAAAACCCATTTTACGATTTTTTTATTTTCGCAATTTAGAAAGAATCGTGGGCCGGACTGCATACCAAGAGCAGCCAATAGGCCTCGGAGAACGTGACTCGTAGAAGAAGGGTAATCCTCACCCTGCTAAGGATAGGCCATGTGAGGTTGACACAAGAACAATTACTTTTCTGCCAAAGCCAACGTCCGGCATGGCGATAATGATTATGATGATAGAAAAGGATGTTAGGAAGCGAGTCCTCGTCCGGACCAGACCGAGAATAGTTGATCGATGTGTCCCACCTAACTGATAAGTACAATTCCTTGGCTCCATATGTCGGAATGACACTTTATACGAGAATTGTGCTTGAGCACTTCAGCGATTATTTGTGTCCCCTGTTCCGATTCTTGGAGCAAACAGGGTTGTTTCATTGTATTTACTAATGATAATTTTGTTCCCTTAATGTGTATTGAGATTTGAGAGTGAATGTTTAGGTGCTTCTCGAGGGTTGCCGGTAAAGTACAAAAGATGGAATTGCCAGTGGATTACGAAAAGAGAATGGTTCGCGGGTCTATGTGTTTTATATACATGCATGTGCAGATTAGAGCTGTATAAATCACTAATCAACAATTAGTAAAAAATAACCCTTGTGAGGAGCACTTACTAACGCTGTTCCTTAAACCAAATAGGTCTAATGAAAATAACATTTTGTCCATCTCAATAGATATAGAGTATTTATAAGAATATGGCAGAGTGCGGAGTGAGAAGCGCTCCTCCTCAAAAAAATAAAAAGGGAAAGGACACCAAAAGAAATTCCAAAAAAATTCTTAGTTTCTTAGTAATAATACCTTAAAATTTATTTACAATACAGGGTGAATTGCTACTCGTGCTACAAACTTCTCCAGTAGATTCTTCACCCTAAAATGAACAAAAAAGTTCATATTGACCATGGTCCGATTCTCAACCATTTCAGAGTAATTTCGCTTTTTATCGATTTTGAAAGATATCACGTCCTGGCGTCGGAAAATCGTGATATCTTTTAATCTAAACATTTCTCTTAAAATCTATAAGCACCGTTGAAATCCCCGTTAATTTTTCAATAAGAAGATGAAGGTGGCAAAACGTTTGGGTCTTTCTTCCTTGACCTTCTAGCTGTTTGTAAACTTCTTAAGCATTACATACTAAATGGGCATTAAATTAAATTAAAAAATTTCAATGGAATTATGATTTTGATTCTCTCTAAAAATTAACGGGGATTTCAACGGTGCTTATAGATTTTAAGAGAAATGTTTAGATTAAAAGATATCACGATTTTCCGACGCCAGGACGTGATATCTTTCAAAATCGATAAAAAGCGAAATTACTCTGAAATGGTTGAGAATCGGACCATGGTCAATATGAACTTTTTTGTTCATTTTAGGGTCAAGAATCTACTGGTGAAGTTTGTAGCACGAGTAGCAAGTCACTCTCAAACATTAGCAATCCTTGAACCACCATTTTTTCTCTTTTTGTCATCAACATCTTGGTCTCACAACCACTAAATAAGAAAATGACGAGTGCGTTGGAAGCGTTATTAAATCAGGTAGTTTTCCTCAAATTTGCTGCCTTCTGAGACTAAAATTAGAAACTCTGGATTACTTTATACACTTTCCGATTTACACAATTTTCCACTCTTTTTGTAGTTCTGGCTGAAATAAAACACAAAAAATTAGCCCAAACATTTTGCCACCGTCATCTTCTTATTGAAAAATTAACGGGAATTTCAACGGTGCTATTAGATTTTCAGAGAAATGTTTAGATTAAAAGATATCACGATTTTCCGACGCCAGGACGTGATATCTTTCAAAATCGATAAAAAGCGAAATTACTCTGAAATGGTTGAGAATCGGACCATGGACAATATGAACTTTTTTGTTCATTTTAGGGTGAAGAATCTACTGGAGAAGTTTGTAGCACGAGTAGCAATTCACCCTGTATATACACCAAAACCCCATAACAATAGCACTTTTTCTCTAATCTTCCCAAGCACCAAATGAACAGAAATAATAATGTTTTCTGTGTTTACTGGCTCCTTTTAAAACAATCTTGTTTTTGATTCTGTGGGAGATTTGACCTGCGTGCCGTATCGCATACACCTGACTCGTACGCCTTTTTCCTACATTGCTTACCACGACGTCTCTAGGGTAGGGGAGCCAATCATATATGGGTCGCTGCTGATGTGACACCCTTTATTTCCATATTTATTTTTATATATTTTTTATTCTAAATCCCCACTTATTTTATATTTTTTTAAAAATCGGATAATACAGGATTTATATTTCACATCTACACATTTCATACTGTTGTGGTGTCAATCGGGAATTATTTAAATTTTCGTCTATTTTTAAACGGTTATTTTTCATTTAACAATTTTCTAAAAACGAGAGTGGATTTATAATCTATGTGTAATAATATTAAGGTAGGTTTAAGTAGTGTATAGGGTGCGAAGGTGCCATCGGCCGTAGGCTTAGTTGCGTACAGAGTTTTTGACAAATCGGCAAGTGTCAATCAGTGCGACGAGTTGAAAACGGACGTGCTGGCCTGCAGAAGCGTTCCTTTCCTTCTGCCCAATTTTTGGCGTCTACTTTCAATCGTTTCTTCGAGGCTGAGAGCCGCAATGTACGTCTGTGCTAACTCACTTTACGAGTTACTTCGCGTACCCATTTATTATCTGCGGAACTGGGAGTCAAGAATCTACCACTTCGTGGATCATCTCTTCATTCCAGCACCCAGATCCATCTTTTCCTTTCCATCCAGCCTGTATCAACTTGGACAGTAACACTCGGTCAGATTGTTCCTTTTTATTACATATCTATTAGTTATATTAATATCTTCTTTTAGTTTGACATTATTAATTTTATTACCATAACCGACCTGTTTTATTGCATGCAATATTAATTGTTCTCATGAGAATTTATCGTGTCTGTTCGTATAGGTTTATATATTTTTAATTACAACTTGTATTAACATTATATCTCATTTTATAACTCAATGCTGCTCTCGTTATTGGAAAATTCTTGTATTAATATTATTAGCAAATTATATTAATACGTTTCAGGTATTGGTGTGTTTGAAGTCATCATACCCCTTTTATCAGTGTGAGGGGGTGATTCATGGAAAACCGGTAAAAAAACATTAGAGTTGGGGATATCCTAAATCTTGAGGAGCCCTGATTCACACACATATCATCTGTTAATAAACAATTTTTATACTTAAAAAATAGGGTTAAATTGGTTTTAAAAAAGGGTTATGTTCAGGTTAAACAAGGCGATCTTGTTAAAACAAATGTGATGTTAAAATAGGCGAATTTGAAAAAAATAATATGACGTTAAAAAGATGTAATACGACGGAAAAATCTGTACATCCCCTTCATCAAAAGTTTGGAACAATTTTTAATATTGTAATTTTCATCCGCTCTAAAGAAAAACAGATAAATTTGATATAATTGAAGTGCTAATCACAAACAGTCGGAGTAGATGTTTACATTTCTTAGACGCATAACTAATAAAATGTAATTTCAAAATCCTCATAAAAGGGTTTATTTACCTAAAGCTTGACAAAGAAACTGGATTTTTTTTCTATTTCAAATTTTCTTCGTTTATGATTTTTTTACATAAAATTAAATTTATTTAAGCAAAAAAATAAATCAAATAAAAACAATCTTTTCTTGGAAGCGTTTGAAAATTGGTCTGTTGTTAAAATACTGTTTAATCATATAGTTGTGTCACTTTTGATTTAGTATTTGTCACCAAATACTAGACGTTGCATTAATAAAAAAAAAACATTTTTTCTAATCTTTTTGACGATTTTAATATGTTTGTTGTGAGATAAAGAAGTAAATTTTTTGTAAAATGCGTGAACGTTTACGTTGACAATTGTTAAATCGACGTCGACCTGTTAGCCTTTCTTGGAGATGAAGATTGAGTTTGCTGAGCGAGCATGGGACAGGCACATTCTATCTCGTCGTTCTCTACTTGTGTTTCATCATGCACGATACAATTGACAGCATTGTTAAATGTTTGTTTCGCGTTGTTTTTCTCTTCGATTGCCTGGCGAAGCTCCATCTTCAGACGGTCCCTGTCTTCCATTAGTGAAATAATCTGTCAAACGATTACCAAATTAGTTGCTGTTGTAAAAACAAAAACAAAAATTACAAATCTACCTCATTCTTTGCCTCTATAAGATACTGTGAAATGCGTTCGATTTCGCCGAGCATGATTTGTCTTTTGGTGTCGCCTATTTCATCGTACAAGGTGTTTTCACCACGCGGATTATTTTGTACACTCATCAATTCGTTTTCCAGCAAGATTCTTTCATTCTGCGCTTCTCTCACCTCCTCTGCAATCAAAAAAACGTTATAATTTTTGTTTGCTGTTATAAGCTGGTGGTCTATTTGTAAAACAAATTGGCCGGAAAGTAAATTATTCGTGCGTCTCCTATCATTGCTTTTAAAAAAATTACAATTATTTGCAAAACATGAAAAATCATAATATATTAGCCTAATAATGCAGAATTTTATTCGACCAAGGAAATTTGGTAAAAAATGAATGCTTCTGTGGTCTCTTACAATCTTTTCTTAAAATTTCATATTTACAATAATAATAATTTAAACCTTTCAGAATGATCGCAACCGAAAAACCAATCCAGTCATTAGAACATAGAAGTTGGTAATGGTTTGACTGCTAGTGGAAAAACTCAGTTTGAACAAATCGACATCGTTTACTTTACTGATCTGTAAGGTGATCAGTGTCCATCAGTTCAGCATTATAACTATAGCTATTTACTAAAGCTATTTAATTTCCTCTCATCATCTCAAATCAGTTTAACGATCAACTTATAACTTAAAAACACACGACACATTAATTTTTGAAGAGTGTTTATTGTATCCCAAGAGCAGCGCGAATTGCAACCCCCTCTCAATTATCTACCACGCGCTACTGGGGCGTGTGTTTCGGATCAGACTGTGATAAATAGATTACGGGAGGTGCAGTTGATTCCACAAATTCGTAAAAATGGTCCACCTTTAAAGACGTCACAAAATTCCCAGGAATTTATTCTCAAGGGAACACGTACTTTGAGACAGTCTCCTTCTAATCCTCGTCGGACTCAAAAAACCGCTGTGATATCTCTGGCAAATAGAAGCGGGAGATTAAATAATGGATAAGGAAGAGAATGGTTTAGTTTGTACAGGAGACCCATGTGCCACAAAAGGACAAACACTTGTGTCACATGAAGAAAGCCCTCCATACAATATTCTTTGCACTCAAGAGAGAAGGTATACAGCGAAACACTAATTGAACTGTATGATGTCGAGAGGGAAGCCCAAACTGGTGAGCACACGAAATAAGGATAAAACAAATTTCATAAATTATTAACAAAGCTCAATAATTGACTCTAACTCAACATACTTTATTGTCGATAGCGCATTGCCTATAGAATACTTGGCTTGCATCTAAAATATTTGCATGATCAAATAGGAATTATAATAAAGTAGACATTTTCCATTCCATAAAGTTGTGCACAAGGATGCGTCGGACTATTCTTACAATTTATTAAATACTTAATAACTTGCAAATGAAAAATCATGTATTTCTTATTTCAACTTTTACCTTCATAAGCCATCTCGATTATCTGACTTCTCGGACAAATACGGTGACATTTCAATTGGCTGGTGCCATACAGGAAAAAAAAATAATCAAAAATCAGCTCGAGTAAGAACACAGAAATACAAGATTTACTTTTTCACGACCGTGGTGAAAAATAAATCTTGGAAGCGGATATAAACCAACAATCGTCACCGGGTTTTATTTGTTTTTTTATTTCTGAAAAACTCTCGAGTACCGGCAAAAGAGATAAACCAAATTAGCGCTCGTCAGTATGGAGGATTTTCAATTTGTGGGGACAGAATTCATGGACAGCCAAATAGCAAAGGCCTTTTGTATAATTTTGTCTCCTCTTAGTTTTCCCAAGATAATCTATTTTTGTAGACACTATTAAAGGTAATTATACGTATTATAAATAATCTAGCGAAAGTTTTTTTCTGAAATATTTTATAAAATTTAACACTACTCGCATATTTATTTATGATTTTAATGTTTCTAGTATTATATATCATAAATGTGGTTTTACTTGCAAATTATCAAAAGCAAATAAATTCTTCAGACTTCATTATCAGATAACATCACATGCCAGCGTCTCTCAGGGGAGCATTTTTTTTAAGGATTTTATGCAGGTAACTGTCCTATATAACCTTAGACCGAAATTATAGCCTATGCAAATGACACCGCAATTCTTTCTTCTAACGCGAATCCGATCTAAGCAACCTCCGACATAAGAATACGTTGATTTTTTTTTTTATTGACTGGGACCCTTAATGGGGCCTAGACTGTTGATAGTGTTAGGCAAAGAAATCCTCTATAAATTTAAACGCTTTCTACTACTCCTTAGTAGCTTATCCTGTAATTATATTTAAATGACTGTGTTTCACAGTGAGGTACGCCAACAAGGACTAAGTGTGCAACCAATGCAATGGACAATGGATTATTCTTGGACAAACTTTTATATTCGTTTTATTCTGCTGATTTTCCATCACTATGATTACAAGCTCCGAGGATGATTCCGCATTTTTCCCTTCTGCGCATTAGAGAAAACTCGAAGAATACGTTGTGCTTAAAAAATACTAGAACAAAAAGTGAAGGCCTCAATACCTGATGAGGAAAACTGCACTTTACTATTCATCGTTAGCAAGTAGCTAATAGTTAGGAAGGCTATATCTAAACAGCAGACAGACGTGGGTTATATTATAATCATTCTTTCTACTTACAATACTAATGGTTTTGGTTTATTCTTGGAATATTTTCGATGAAGGTATTTGTATTAGTTTTTGTATTTATTTTATTCTCATACAACTAAGATATGCTAAAAAATTTGGACTAGTTAATTTATTGATACTTAGTAGTTCTAAAAATTTGAAATACGTTTGTCGAAAAGAGAAAATTAGTAAGTTACAGTAGCCTTTTGTTATATTTGATGATGATATACGATTTGACGATATGACGTATTTTCTTCTAATTATTTTCAGGAAATTATAAACAAGTTTGAAAAATAGTATTAAATATTCTGTTTGACATGGCCTAAGACGTTTAACTGAGGAAATATCAGAATAACTGATGAAAAAGGAAAGAGGAGCACTTTATTACACCCATTCCACAGTTTACGCGAATATCCGTTTCACGTGGATATGATTTACGCAAATAAAATTCGTGTAAATTGTGCAACAAAGTTTCTTTCTGTGTCAGGCATTCCGCCAACCGATCTCACAGTTGTGAGACTAAACGACGAAAACTATGACTATATAAAATGGTCAATTTTAAATATTATAGGAAAATATGTATGCGCATACCAGACGACGTAAATCAATTTCGTGTATAAAAAGTATCACGTAAATTGAGTAATGGATTCGTGCAAGGAAGATTCTCGGTTTGTATAACAAATTTCTTAATTAATCATATCGAAATTAATTTTCTAAGGTTTGTGAGCTTAAAAGCTGATTTTCTAGCAGAATATCTTTCCGAAATTGTTTTATATAACAAGAAATTAGTAAGTGAAAAAAAAAACAAAAAAAAAACAATAGTAACATTCGAACTTTTCTTACCGTAAGTCTTAGTATAGAGGTAGTGATAAAAGTTGCAAGCTAGACGATAGTAGATGGCCAAGGCGATGGGGAGAACGATAACTAGGCCGAACAATCCGAAGTGGGCCAACTTGCTGAAGATGGAGCCTATGGATCGTCTACTTTTTTCAACGGCTGCACATCCACCTTGCGCTTTGGTACAATTCGGAACTATAGGAAAACAATCTGGTGTTCTAACTCCTCCGCAAAAGATACACGTATAGACCTGGCATTTACACTTTTCCATCAAATAGGAAACCCATTAAAATTTTTGAAAAATTTTGACGCGTAAGTAAAAATGTCCGTACTTTTTAGCATTTTCAGTTGCCATGGTTTCGATTTGCAACAAATGTTTATTTAATTTTAGCCGTGTTCCATTGGAATAGTATTGGGAAGATCGAAAGGAATCATTTATCATTAAAATTGGTCATTTCAACAATACTATCGACTCAATAAATATATTTAATTAATTAAACATTTATCATATATTTGTACAATAAGAAATTGCATATATTTACATTTATTTCATAATTAATTACTTTATGGCCCTTAAACGGCGCATGTATTAAATAGTTCGTTTATGGCTGCAATTCATTGCAGGTTTAGTATATCCACAGCGCCGTATAACTTCCAGTATTCCTTATAAAAGTTTGTTAAAAATAAATTTTTTCATTACTGTACCCAAAAAAACGGTTGCATTTCAACCCCGTCAATTGAAGTAAAATGTAAATATTACATAAATTACCTTTTACGTATACTTCGTAAGCAATTATTTTTGCAATCTTAATTAGGATTAAATAAATCGTAACTAAATTCCAAGAAAGAAGTTTCCTTTAAAATGTCCTTTATTATACAAATAGTGAAAAAAAAATCAAAAAGAAAAAAAATACATTTGACTACAATCCACATTAATTAGTACTTTAAAGATGGTATTTATTTTTGTTTGATTGTGTTTAACTATTATGAAAACAATGTAGGATTTTTCTTTAATAGGTGTTCAAAAGAATATTATTTATTCTATTTCCATAAGTTACTTTTAGGTAACATGGTATTTTTATTTTTTATTTTTTTTACTGTAGAAAAGTAAAACGTTTTCGGAAGGCTGTATTAACATTTGTATACCATTTGTACGTTTTGCTTAGATGAGATTTTTCACTAGTAGACAACTTTAAGTAGAAACGGGTTATTCTCGAGATAGCCAACTTACAATTAATTATATCAAAACCAAACGTAATTTTTATTTTATAAGAAATTTAGTAACCTCTTTTATTTATTGACAAAAATTAAAACGATTTTACTATAGCGCTATATGAAAACTTCGCCATGTTCATACTTTTCAATTAATCAAGTTTCATTACCAAAATGGACTTTAATATAGTTAGGAGATCAAAACAGTAATCCTGAATCCTAACATTGTTTCCTTTCTCAAAAACTTTAATATTATCCGATAGTCGTTATCAGGTGACATAATTTGTAGTAATGTTACGTATCCCACATCCTTATTCATACTTCACGAACCCCGACATTTTTGTAACCTATCAAGTTCCTTTTTTGCTCCACCTTACTCATCCGACTACAGAACTGCCGTAATAACCCTCGATAACTTTGTTTTCTTTCCACCAGTGAACTAATCCTTACATTTGGGCCACTAGATCGGGGAAAATTTCTATCTGTACAGGAGGACAAGATATACAGACACCATTAAAAACACATGAAAATACAAACAACGTTTTACGTCAATTCACGATACAAATCACATAAAAGGACCTTTTAGATATCGACTCCCGTACGAAAAAGTGAACTCAAACTCAAGGACTATCTTTGTTATTATTATACACAATCATTGACCATAGAGGACAAACCTAACTATAAGGAAACTAAAAGAATTTTTGTTCTATAAATTTGTTTCCTCTCTTCTAGATCAAGAGTCTCTTTTCAGCTCCCCTCCCACCTGTCCTCAATATTTAACATTACTACCCTTTATAATGGAATTCTCCGAACCATTTCCCGAGTCCATTGAAGTTCGCCCAATCGCTAAATCCAACAAATCTTTTGAATCCCTACCGTACCATCTTCGTAAACACCACGAAATGCATACTTTTGCAAGCAAATACTCTTGCATACGGTAATCTTCTAATATAATCCCCGACCATAAATTTGAATTTATGCATCACTTCACACTCGAACAGTGCTTTGTTATGGGTTTACCCACAGTATGGATTTGTTCTCAGGGTAGCGGTTTTGGTCCGTTATATTCTGCTGATATCCCTTTCCACCGAGACAGTACTCTCTTAACATTCCCATTCTAACATTGGCATTCTATTTTCCAACTGACCCAGTTGTAGCTCACAGATCCCTCAAACCATATTTACTTAAACAGTGATCGAAAAACGATAAATCATACTTAACACCTCATAACTCCAGAACATAAATTTCACTCTCACCCTGACCCATTCCAAAAATCTTATCGGCTACCGCTGGCTATTTCAGGACATGTGACTGACCTAAAATCCCCATACACGATTTGAAAGAAAAGGACTAATCCAAAGATACTGATTATATAAAAATCTAGTAGAAAACAGAATTGGCGTCTTAAAAAACCAATTCAAAATATTTATTAGATAGAGAGCTGATGGAAAACAAAACAAAAAAAGATAAACTTGAAGCTCTTCCATGGTGTAATTACGGACCAAAGATGAAAAATCGTACGGGCATAGGTGTAAAGAGGCCTGACATTAACAACCACATGACCCACAACCTCACCACAACTATCTTTAAAGTCGAACTGCTAGCCATACAAACATGCACGTACGAAATAAATAAAATCCACCTCAGAGGTGCAAAAATAAATAGTCTTTCAGACGGCCAGGCAGCTCTAAATGTTCTCCAAGGCGACGAAATCACCTCAGAACTAAAAAAAAAATGACTAAATGCATCTAAAAACTCTGGTATCCTCAAAAAACTAACGATAAAAGAGGTAGCAGATAAACTTGCAAAAAAAGGATCCTCAGAACAACCCATAGGACCAAATCAATTCTGTGGCTTAGATTACAGACATATAAAAAGAGAAGTGGAAACATGGGTAACTAAAGAACACAACAAGTACTGTGAAGGTAATCCTGGCATCGAGCAAAAAAAATATTAGTCGCATACATAATCCAATAGAAGAAAGATGAACTCCTCAACGGGAAGGAATTAAAAGCTTTAACTGTTATGTTCAGAGACTCACTCTTTGTTATGTATAATCTTAAAAAAGTGAACTATTTTCAGATGACCATGCCGGGTATGTATAGAGGAGACGGAGATAACTGAACATATCATATACAACTCCTTTATAAAAGCTAAGAAAATGTTATGGTACCTAGAAGAACCGCACTTGAAATCATTCTCCTGAAAGAATATTTACTTTATAAAAAAATGAAAATCTTCCGATTCAATAGAAAACATCGACACAATGGACGACCGTGCAAAAGGGAAAAGTCCCTTACTCCTTATGGAACGAATCCTTTCCCTAGACAATAAAATACTTAGTTACAACTCAAAACTTAAGCCAATATACACCATAGAACCATGGGGCACAAATCTTCCAATCTCTGCACAATCCAGACCTTATGATCACGAATTCTCAAATCCAATTTTTCGTTTTTTGTTTCCAACTAAACCATCCAAAACGACCTAAATGATCCCTTTATCGAATAAGATGTTGCCCAATCCAGCTAAATACATTCTATAAAAATTTTCACTCCCACTCTAATCCTCACGCGCAGCGACTTTTTCGCAAATCTCTTTCTTGACTCTCCATGAATAACATCTCCAGTCGATTTATTAACAAACGTAATTTTAAGAAAAATCGGCTGTGCAAGACACACCTGATTTAGTTCGATTGTTAATTAAATTTTTGTTTTTTCAGTGACAACTAATCATATTACATTTCGTATATTGTCATATTGTATTTCGTTTATAATATATAAATTTTAATTAGCTTTGAAGTTAATTTTGTTGAAGCTTAACGAAATGAAAATACTCTTTAAGGGGACCGAAGAGTGTTGGTGACTGTTGGTGTGGAAGCACTGTTTTTTCGGTAAACGTTTCGCAAAAACTACTACGGATAGCCATTTGATTTTTGAAAATAGTGTTTATTATATTGTTTTGTACTAGAGAAGATGTTTTGAAACAATTTCGTTCGTACATTAATTTACTTGAGCTCTTTGAACAAGTTGCTTTCTCGACGCAGTTTTTCATTATTTTCGTTTTTTCGTAATAATTAGAACTATGATTTATTAGAAATAATGTTTGTAGGAGCTCACATTATTGATGAACGCATTTTATTTATTGACCAGCGAGCAATGCGTACCTGAATGGTAAAAAGGCAAAACTTTTGGATACCAGTGTTTTTACCTTAGGCGGTCATTTTCGTCTACGGTGAATTTGCCTGAGTTCTTTACTTCAATTTATTATTAAAATATCAATTTTTTAAACAGTACCTCTATCTAATCTTCTAGAATTTTGCAGAAAGGTAAAACCGTTTTGTTTCATTTACATTCCCGACAGGTTTTTAGCCATTTTACTACCTGCTTTAGTCCTACTCTCCTTAATTTATATTGTAGACTTCATTTGCATCCCATATTTTTCGTTGAATTTAATTATTCAATACTTTCCCTAAGAATAACCGCAGTAATATAATACAATATAATAGTATATAAATGTTCATGAATAACAGGAGAAATTTTTAAGCCAATATTGTTTTTCCTTTTAGTTGCCTTAAATGTTGAATCAGTTGACTTCGAAAAATTATTATTGTAATTTTGTTGGAAAGGCAATGTTTAAACCTTGTTCTTCTACAATGCTTTTGTGCTTGCGGTTATGTTCGATGTTTGCTTTGTAAGCGCGTTTATTTTCATCCGAAACCATGGAAACCAATTGTAACGCTTTACAACGACTCTCTTCATTGTAAATTGAGCGTTGAAATGCACTGTGTTTATAATTATATTATGTAGGAGAATGGTAGTAAAGCTTTACCGAAAACTGTCTAGCCAAGAATGAAGACAATATTCAAAGAAAGTTCAAGTCGTAAAAAACAGAGCATAAAAGAAAACACGGATATTCTTAAAACGTGGTTCATCAGCTTGAGCTATATATTTGAAAATAGACTTTAACCAAATGTTTCATACGTTATGTGTATAAATTAATAAATATATGTGTATGTTTGACGATTTTTACATAGCTAATTTTAGCTTTTAGCTCGTTAGCTTTAAATTTAAATACGCCATATATCCTTTCTCAAAAACTAAATAAAAATCACTTACTGATAATTGCATTGTATTCTGCTCTTAGGTTCCACCATTTGTGTAGGAAGTAACACGCTGCCCCTATAGCAATTAACTGAAACGCTGCAGTCAGCAGTTTTGCCAAACAGCACATCAACGTCCTAGGATGCCTGTTGTAGCAAAACAAACGTGGGCAGAATAACCTCGTACATTTGTCGTCAGATTCACTCAATGCGGTTCCCATTTCCCGTGCTGGTCCAGGATGATCATTTCCCGGATTAAAACAAGCGTCGTCGCAGTCCCCTTCGACCCTCCTGTGGTATTGATAGTACGACGTCGCCGCTGAAGGCGTGTAGCATTTCTTCACATCTTCAAGAATATATTTTTCAAACCAGCCTTTCTCTTTTTTCGGCTCGGCTCGTTTCGTTATTTTCGACCAGAAATTCGATACGAATTGTTCGCATTCTTCAAAACTCGCTTCGGCAGGCCGTTCTTGAATCGACGTTGAAAACTCGGTTTCGCTACATGACACGTTTTTATTTTCTTGCAAAGGTTCCGATTTTACTTCCTCATTTTTCTCTTCTGGTTGACAGGACGTGGAGTAGTAGTTTTCGGCTATCATTCCTTGATTTGGCAGTGCAAGTCATAAAGCTGGCGTTCCGCAAATTGTCTATTCTTAAATTTTTCAGATGTCGTGTTACTATAGAAACAAAAATTGAATATCACCCACATTTATTTTTAATAATGCAGCATTTTACATAAAATATAAATATAACCGATATTTTATTGTTTTAAGTTAACCTGCGTTTCAAATTAGAAAATGAGATGAAACAAGAATAATTAACACACCAGCAATCCTTTCGTTTATCAGTCTTTTAGCATTTTCTTTATTCAAAGTAAGTTTGCTAATATCAAAAGTTTCCTTTCAACAAGTCATAATAGTTCTATAGCTAGTGATATCACGTTATTCTTTGCTATTTTCGTTGGCCAATATTTTATTTGTAGGAATATTTTTTTATATAGAAACCTTTGCTTGATCTGAACTAGGATCGGTATTATTTAAATCAAAACAAGATTACGCTTTAGGAGAAGATGGGATACCGTTAATTCGTGTCATGTCAATGTCTATTGTGTACTAGTCAAATCTTGTAAAAACTGTTCCAAAGCAGAGAAATGTATCATAAAAACAAAACCAAAATGTGTAAATTGATTTACTTCATATCATTTTGTTTCATCTAGTCTCTTGGACAATATAACAAAAAGGAAATACGATTAATTTTTTCTGCGCAGATTGTAATGTTGAAAATATCGCACATACTTTTGGCCTTTAGCAATGGCCGTTGTCAAATGTTTCAAATCCTCGGTCGACCGAGGTGCAGGAAAGGGAATTCCAAACACCCCTAATGGTTTAATTGTATCAACGTCGCTTTCTCTTAACATACGGCCATGTTCTATTGATATGCATTAGGCGTTAACTTACTTAGGGTCGAACCGGAATGACTATGGAGCGGCTTCGTTCAATTACTGAAGAAACCCTGGTTATTCCACGGCGTGGTAGATCCGTTTATAATTTTCTTTGGCCCCAGGGAGTTGGTTCCAGTTTGGATGCGTTTTATACAACGGTAATTGCGTTATAAAATCGAGTTCGGAGTGCGTGTGTCGTAATCATGGGAGTTGTTAGCTCCAGTTAGGGCCGATCAATTGGGGACCTAATGGGCCGGTTTTTCGCTAAATGACTGTCTAGAAACGGAATGGAAAACGTTTCGGTAGATATATTTTAACTTAAAGGAAACTTTATAAAAACCTAATGAAGACACTTTTCGCCAGAAGAACTTTCTACATGTAAATTGAAGTTTTTAAAATATAAAAGCGTAAAATATTCATATCAGGACGATCAAATACTACTAGGTTCATCGCTACAATACAATAATTCGCAGTATAATTGATTCTATTGAAACGTACAAAATAATCCCCACAAAATAGCGTCTTTCAAACTTAATGAGCCTTTTAAGGAAAGCTTTCCCTTCATTTTAATATCAAACGTTCCTTCTCACGACAGTTTGATGGGCATAGCAAGAAGTTTAATTTGATTCGACGGTCATAAGCACTGGGTACACGGTCGCTATTAATATTAACTCTGAAGTAAAGTGGTGAAGTAGCTCGTCATTTAGTAAGGTTATGTAAAGGACAAATGATAATTCTGCTTTAGTTATTCTGTTTGGAAATAATTTATTTCTTCAATAAATATTTCAAGATAGGTAAAAATCAAATTTTTGCCGTTGTTTTGTCTCGTGTCCAATTTATTCCTCAATGAATATGATCAAGAAAATAAATCAAAACAATCAAATGGCTTTCGTAATTTCCATTTAATCCTTTTGTGGCTTTTCTATACATATTTTTAAAATAAATCTTAAATTTGCCATCTACTTTTTTATATAAATAGTCGTTATTTTGTTCAGAAAAATTTTCTGTTCAATTGGACAACATCTCTGAAACATGATTTGTTTACATACATGAATAAATTTTTTACCTGAAAGCTAATGACATTAATGGATAAAACATTTATTATGTAAACTTAGTACTGGTTCTTGATACATATTTGATACTTGGCGGATTGTATGAACCATTTCCTGAGTTCCATTTATCGCTTTTCTAAACATTATTAATATAACAAGATTTTAACTTATTACTTTAAAGATTTTTTCTATTGTTCTAGTGATTTGATTTTTTTTTAAGTTGTGACATTTAAGTTTCAAATTTGTTTTAGTGATGGTTTTACGTTATGTAGATTTGGCTAGAGTCATAGCATTGTTGGGATATGGAAAAAGTCAAGCGTATATAGCCAAGGTGTTTAACATTCCGAGAACAACTGTTCGAAGGGTCTCTCGAACGCTACCAAGATACTAAGGGTTACTCAAGTAAGCGTGGATCATCAGGTCGCCATCATCTCACATCTCAGTGAGATGATAGTTTTATTGTTTCGAATGTACTCAGTAATCAACATTTTACTGGTGTTGAGATCGAGCAACGACTTAAACAAGTTAAAAATATTAATGTCACTTTACGCACTGTAATACTGACGCCTCCAAAACCCACATGGGTAAGGGAGCTGGGGTCTTCGGGATGAACCCCAAGACCGAACTTAACTTAGGTAATTATGCTACAGTTTTCCAGTCTGAAAGCATAGCGATTGAACAATGCGCGAGAGAAATAAAAAGGCTAGGACTACATTCCCGGAAGAGAGCCATTTTCTCTGACAGTCAGACAGCACACAGGGCTCTGCGAGGCGAAGACAAAGAGTGTTTGGAACTGCATGGAGGGCCTGACTGAAGTTATCGACACTAACGACCTGACCCTGGCACGGATCCCTGGACATACGGCGCATAGAGGCAACGAAAAGTTGACATGTTGGCCGAAAAGCTCTACTGCGGCCTAGCAACCTGCCATAAAAGAGAATACATCTTAAAATGGATCCTTAATGAGTCCAAAACCTGGTGGAAGAACACAGGTATAAGGCACGTGAAGAGATTCATAGAAGGGCCATCCGCAAAACAACAAAACAATTACTGGAAAGCAACCGCAACCGACCCAGGATTGTGGTACAGGGTACTGCCATTTAAGAAAGCACATGCACCGGATAGAAGTACAGACAGAAGAAACACTGCAGGTACTGCCAGGAAGAGCAGGAGACCGTAGAACACATTCTATGTTTCTGTGAAGGTCTATGAAGGTGTAGGTTCTTGCAACTAGGACGAGAAAAACCTCAAGCAAGGTTATCAAAATCAATCAAAAACCTCAAGGTTATAAGGAGTTATCAAACTGCATCCTACAGTGAAAGCAGGTTAATAACCTGAAGCTGGCCAGTGTGTTATAAAAAACAGGATAGTTCAATAAATCAATTCAAGTCGAGGTGCAGTAGGCCTTCTGGCCGCCTCTTTTATCCTTATCCTTAACTCTATCTCCTTACGCACTGTAAAGCCAAGAATTTTAGAAGCTAAATTACGTGCGAGAAGGCCTGCCGCTGGTCTACAGTTTCTGACAGGGCACATAACGGTTCGGTTAACCTTCGCAAGAAATAACATCAATTGGTCGGAGCAAGATTAAGCTATTACCCGTTAAAAAAATCACTTTTATTTTAACTTTAAATATAAATTTATATTTTAGTTAATGACACTAGCTTTTTCATCTCAACAAAGACATTACATAAAAAGAATGAACAATTGAAATAAATAATTGGATCAATTAGTCCACTAAACATAAACGGATTTATTCAGTATTTTAGATTGAGTTGCCAAATTTTTATTTCATTCAAGTTGTCAATCAGTAAAAATTAATCACACGATTTCTGGATAACCATCGATTAACGGTCACTAATCACCACACATTAAAGGAAACCTTCTTGCGTGTTTAATAGGAACATCAGTAGATAATATGCACACAAACAAAACTTTTAAAAAATTGTCAACAAAGATGATATAAATAAAAACAATGATTTCGATTATTCAATTTCAGTTCACTATCATCATAAATGAACTGAATGAAACCTAGATAAACATTTAATTATTCTTCTGTAACAGAAAATTATTCATTTTAAACTTTGTTATAAAGTCATACTCTCCGAGTCAAACGAATATTGTTGAAAAGGAAGGGAAAGAAATTTTTTTGATATTTTCAGACGTATACGTGCTGTTTTTCTTTTTGTGATAAGATTTAAATTTAAAATGAGCTAATTCCCCGCCTATTTTTATGATAATGCCTCTAGGCTGCAAAGTAAATTTTATTATGAAAATAACTTTACGGAGTTTCATGTTGAAGAAAGGGATGACATTCTATTCTTTTCTGGATTGTATAAAATTCTCTGAACTCCAAATTAAAAAATGTTTCTTTTAAATGTATTACTTTTTTCCATCAGAATTTAACTATATTTGAGGGTGGTATTTTGATACCGTCAAATAAAAATTACTAAAGCGAAAATCATGAATAAAACCTAACCAATTGAACTAAAATTAAAAACTAAATTAATATGGGGTGTAAAAATAAAATAATAATATGAAAGTAACAAATTCTTTTTTCTTCAAATCCCTCAAATCTTCTTGGGCTTTAAGGAAAGTTAGTCGTTTAAAATTACGTTTCAAAGAAAGTAGTCCGAACACAACTTTAACGAGATTCAACAAAAAACGGAGCAAGGAATACAATAAAAATAAAATATTTAGAAGATCAAAAACTTAAGATTTATAAAACTAATCAAACTAAGTGCAAAACTAACCCCTAACCATCCCTAACCATCTTCAGGGCCTGGGATTTACACAGGTTACACAGAAAATACACACACGACCACATCTCACAATCTCCAAATAATCAGTTCTTTATTTTTTATACTAAAAAATCTATTGTTTTAAATGTATCAAAACTTGGTAGGTCTTATTTGAAAAGATGAAGTTTATACAGACAGCCGGTAAATGTATATGTCAATTCAGGTGTGACTGAAGTTATTAGCGCGAATGGCTGAAAATGTCTTGATGGAATATCGTGTACTTCACAGCAAAAAAGGCTATGTTAATAAATTTGTATTTATGATCAGAAGAAGTACGATAGGGCAGTGGCGTAATATCACAACCTGGTGAATACCCTCGCGTGTGAATGTATTTATAAGCATTCACAGTCAAGTATGTATGTGTGTGTGTGTGTGTGTGTGTG